TCGACGACGCCGAGACGACGGTGACGCAGCTGCGTCACGCCGTGGAGGCCGCGCGCCTCGAACAGACGACGGGGTTCCAACTTCTTGAGACCGCGCGCAAGGAGCTCGAGGAAAAAGAGCAGGCGACGCTGCGCGAGATGCAGCTCACGGTGACGCAGCTGCGTCACGCCGTGGAGGCCGCGCGCCTTGAACAGACGACGGGGTTCCAACTCCTTGAGACCGCGCGCAAGGAGCTCGAGGAAAAGAGCAAGCAACATTGCGCGAAGTGCAGCTCACGCTCGAGAAGGTCGCACAGCACAATAGCCGTGCCATCAGTGGCGTGAGCCTCCGTCTGCGCCAGATCCACGAAACGTCCGCTGCGCCGCCTACCCAGCTCGCACCTGTCGCTTTCGTACTATTGATGGCCGTGCTTGCAGCGTGGGGGCTCGGTCGCTCCCGCCGTGCCAAGTTCTGGCCTGCATCGACGGCCTACACCAAGCTCGAGACGGCCCACGAGTAATTTCGTGTGCTCCTGTTGTCGTTGTTAACCAAGTTTTCGTTGTAACAGTATCGAACACATCGTCTGCGTATGTAAACAAATACCGAGTATTTGAAGGGTCGCAGAGTACCGTCATGTGTTGTGTCTAGGCTGTGGTTACTCCATGTCCGGCCAAATGTGTCAATGCGTATCGCTGGAGAGCTTTAACTTCAGAAAGCTCTCCCTTTGTCGATGTAGTCTGCGTGCGTGGTCGAGATTGGATGCATGTGCCAATATGTCACTCGATCTGATACTGTATCTGATATTATCAGATACAGTATCAGATAGTTCCTCTCAGTAGCCAACTGGCAAAAAATATGCTATTGATGTTGCCCTTCCGAGCAAGGACTCACTCGTTAGACCGTCAGATTCCTATCTTTGGCTTTTCTTTTCTGGATGTGGTCCAACCGAGAGAGCATGGCGCATTCATTGCCTATTCCCCAGGTCGAACTAGATAGACCAACGGAGTATTGGCCCAGAGCGTGGTCGTCGAGGGGCTCGAAGCCAAGATGTCGAAGCGCGTCGTTAATGCTGACGCGGGCCCATCGGCAGCCAAAAGGCTCATCGGCACTGCCCGTTCTCACCGTGCTAGACAGCGCAGTCACTTGTTGCACACAAATACCGGCCAACACCATCCATACGACAGGTGCATGCTGTGTCGCTGCGATGAACGAGTCATGCTTGTTTTTACGACGAGCTGCTTTGCGTGCTAGGGTGCAGTTCTTGCGCGGCCGCGATCGTGTTTTGAATGCGCCGCGTGAGAATCTCGTGGTATCCGACGGCGGCGATGCGCTTGGCGCCTTGACCGATCAAGCAGGTATCACTGAGCTCGCCTCGAAATGGCACAAACTCCCGCTCCGCGTGGCGAGGTGTCACGTACTGAGGGATTGCGGCAATCAAAGCGTCTTCCATTTGGGTCGCCCACGATGTGTTGTGTGGCTGCAGGGCGTCGTCCAGTTCGCGTGGTGGCGTGAGAATGTACTGTCCGTTGATATAGAGGAGCGGCGGATCAACACTGGCTTCAGGCACATAGTGCGCGAGGCTTCCGCAAAGTGTCTCGTTGTGCAGCGCCATGTCGTCGGGCAGTGACACGACAGCGGCCGCGTGCTCGGAAAACGCATACGAGGCATTGGCCAAGACGCACGCAAGCCAAAAGTACTCCTTGTCGCCCCTATGTCGTCAGGTGAAAAATATCAATCTTTCAACTAAAAATGGAAAATATTGTCACAGACCAGGACAACCCATACCCCGCGTACGTGGATTCGTGACGCAATTCGTGGACGAGGTGCCATAGCACTTGCAACATTGCGTGCCCGACGCGGCTCTTTCGCAGCAGCACGACCGACGAGTCTTGTTCGTGCGCTGTCGCGTGCTGCCACGCCTTGGACTGCTGCAGCTGCGGTGAGAGCACGGGCCGCGTCAGGTTGAAGCGCGCATAGGGAAACGAATGCAGCAAGGTGTGGAGCAACGTCTCGTTGTAAGACGTGGGCGTGTTGAAAAACTGGGTGTAGTCGAGCTGCCGGTCGTAGAAGAAGAGCGTGCCTGTCGTTTGAAACGGGAGGAGACCCCAGAGCACATCGGGGTTGCTCAAAAAGATGTCGTCGGCGTCCAGGACCAGAACGTCGTCCAAGTGCGTGTGCAGCAGTGCGAGGATCTTGATGTAGTAGCTCTGGTACGTTGTCGCGTCCCACACGTTGCGTAAATATGGCGTGTGGTCGACCAAGAGCTGACACACATCGACCATCTCGATGGCGTCGAGGGCGTCGGCGGCCAGGATACGCGACCGCGTATCGTTCGAGAGCTCCGAGGGGAAGCACGTGTAGACCTGAATCGGCAGCGTGTTGTTGAGCCATCGGAGTTCTTGGATGAGCGAGATGCCCATCGCAGCAATCTTTTCGTGGAGGCAGATGACGATGCCCCGCGTCGCATCTGGGAAGCGCGAGACATGGCCACGTTGAAAGGTCGCTTGGTCAAAGTCGATAGGTGCTGGCAAAAGCTGCGAGTCGGTAGGTGTTGGGAAAACCTGCACGTCGGTAGATGATGGAGACGGCTGTACGTCGGTAGGCTCTGAATGAGCTTGCAAGTCGGGAGATGGCGGCACGGACTGGAAGTTGCTCGGTGCTGGCAAAAGCTGCGAGTCGGTAGGTGCTGAAGAAGCTTGCAAGTCTGTAGGCGATGGAGAAGCCTGCAAGTCGGTAGATGATGGCACGGGCTGTACGTCGGTAGGCTCTGAATAAGCTTGCAAGTCGGGAGATGGCGGCACGGACTGAAAGTTGCTCGGTGCTGGCAAAAGCTGCGACGCGGTAGGTGCTGAAGAAGCTTGCAAGTCTGTAGGCGATGGAGAAGCCTGAACGTCGGTAGATGATGGCACGGGCTGCACGTCGGTAGGCTCTGAATGAGCTTGCAAGTCGGGAGATGGCGGCACGGACTGGAAGTTGCTCGGTGCTGGCAAAAGCTGCGAGTCGGTAGGTGCCGAAGAAGCTCGCAAGTCGGTAGATGACGGCACGCGTTGCGAGGCGGTAGGCACTGAAGAAGCTTGCAAGTCTGTAGATGACGGCACGGACTGAAAGTTGCTCGGCGCTGGCAAAAGCTGCGAGTCGGTAGGTGCTGAAGAAGCTTGCAAGTCTGTAGGCGATGGAGAAGCCTGCAAGTCGGTAGATGATGGCACGGGCTGTACGTCGGTAGGCTCTGAATAAGCTTGCAAGTCGGGAGATGGCGGCACGGACTGAAAGTTGCTCGGCGCTGGCAA